GCTGTGGCAGAATTTATAGCTTCTTAGAAAGTTCTTTTGGGAGATACTTGAAGGGACCCGAGAAACCCTCAGCATCTGTTACCTTTCTTAGAGCTCAACATCCCCAGCCACAGGTTTTCCTGAGGAGTGCAGGGCAGTGATATATTGCCCAGTGATTAAAAGCAAGTGCTTTGAGGTTCTGAGTCTCTGTTTCAGCTACTTTCTCATTTGGGCTCTGAGGATCCATTTTTTCTTCTGTAAAGTAGACATTATAATACCCCTTGTGCAGAAAATAGTTGCTGCAGCAAACCCAAAGTCTTAGTCACTTTCCTCATCACTAGACAAAATACCTAACGCCTGCAAAGGAGGGGTTTATTTGGGTTCACATTTTTATTCCATGTTCATCAGCTCCAAGGTAGGAAGAGCATGGGAGAAGGGCCTGGCCTGGAATAGGAAAACTGCTCACATCATGGCTGCTGGGAAGCAGAAAAGAGAGAAGCAAAGCATCTAAAACAGAGATAGACTCTTCCAGGTCATGTGCTTAGTGACCTGTGTCTTCTAACCAGACCCTACCCACCAAAGCAAGTCAGCTACTAGACTCCCCACTTGAATCCACCATGGTTACTGTGTACCAGGATTCAAATACTTTCATGTTTTGAGAATTTTAGGGGGCACCCTAAATCTAAATCATAACTCCTGAGAGGCATATTTTTTTAAAATCCAAATGTAAGATTGGCTCTTGGTCGGCGCTAGAGAACGTTGATGTTAGGAAGCTTTCCATCATTCTCTGGTAAGAATGGCTCATATTCGTGATATCTAAACTGTTTATGCAAACACTATGGCTCTTGCTGAATCTCTGATTTCCTTTGAGAGTCTGAAACTTCAAGTACAGACTTGCCAGAGGGTGCCTACATAACCAGTACTGAATAAAATCTTCAGGTACTACATCTCTGGTGTTCCTCTGATCGAATGTCATGAGCATTTCACATGTATAGTCACAGTCCATAATCACATAAAATAATCATATGCTATGAGTCCACAGGGGAGGACCTGGAGGCTTAAGACTGGTTTCCTCTGAACTTTATCCCACACCCTTTTTCTTTGCTGATTTTGTTTTTTAGACATTCACTAAATCACAGCCATGAGTATGACTATGTACTAAATTTGTGAGTCCTCACAAATCATCAAACCAGGAAGAGGCCTTGGGAAACACAATATAGGGTTACTGTGAATGTGGGCTTACATATATTGAACACGTAATACCCTTCCAGGTACACAGTAAGAAAGCATGGGCATGAGAAAGAATCATATACAAAACATACATCTACCTTCCTTCTAGGTGTTCCCTGCTCCTTGGTATCAGAGGGCCCTAGGACCCTGTCTGGGTCTTCTTCCTGAGTGTGGTCTCCCCCACTACTAATAGAGTATTGGCTACTACTGATGGAATATCACTGTATATGCTGGATTCTGTCTCTGCATTCAGGATGAGTTTCACAGGGAGGCTGTTTTCAAACTGTTTATTTTATTTTTCTTTTAAACTGATTACTTTAGAGGGGCCGTCCCAGATCTCCGCAATCCACCTTCCGCTGGAGCTGATAGCAGCGCAGGCAGGGAAGGGCGTGGCCACTCCCTCCCTAGCAACGCAGCCCAGGCAGGCCGGAGGGATATAAAGACTCAACTCAAAAATGGGCTTCTGAAATGAACAGACATTTTTCAGGCAAAGAAGTAAAAACAGCAAGTAAATATATGAAAAAATGTTCCACATCACTGGTCATTCGAGAGATTCAGATGAAGACAACACTGAGATTCCACCTCACCCCACAAAGAATGGCTGCCATCAAGAAATCAAACAATAACTAATGTTGGCGCAGCTGTGGGGAGAAAGGAACCCTTTTCCTTTGTTGGTGGGAGTGCAGACTGGTGCAACCACTGTGGGAATCAATATGGAGATACCTCAAAGAGCTGGGACTAGAGGTTCCATTTGACCCAGTCATCCCTCTGTTGGGAATCTTTCCAAAAGAATTAAAAGAATCATACCACAGTAATATATGTGCACTTATGTTTATAGCGGCATGGTTTTTAATAGCTAAAACTTGGAAACAGCCCATTTGCCCATCCATTGGAGACTGGATAAAGAAGATGTGGTTTTTCCATAAAATGGAATACTACTCAGCCATAAAAAATGAGAAATTAGATTCATTCATAGGAAAATAGATACATATTGAGGATATACTCCTAAGTGAAATAAATAAATCACACATGTGAAATACCGAATAGTTTCTCTGGTGTGAAAACCTATAATAGTAGATAAGATCCTAATGATATAATTGACAATGTGAAATAGGAAGAAAAGGGCTAAAGGTGTAGGGAAAGTGGGAGGAGTAGGGGAAAGGCAATAAGGGAAAAGAAAAAAATATGAGTAAATCAAAAAATGGAAATTAAGTGTTTGTAAATGGGGAGGGGAGGAGCGGGTGAAGGGAGGGCAGGGACAAGGGGAAAGAATGAGAACCAAGTCCTGTCATGTAAAGGTGCAGGATCCCAATGATGAATGTAGCTGTACTGTATACCTAAAATGTATTAATAAATTCAATGAGAGAAAAATAAATAAATAAATTGATTACTTTATAATTCTTGAACTCAGACTTACTAGACATTTAGAAATGTAGTTATTGCAATTTAATTATAGTTGTATAGTATCACAGAATGCTATATATGTAGGTTATATCAGATGTGGATTTCCTCCCCACAAGTTCCTTATTTAAAAGTAGGAACAGTATTAGTTCATTGATATTTTCCTTTATACATTCTCACTTGAATAGCACAGCAACCACTGGGAAATTTATAATCAGGAAGGGAAAAGTAAGGTATTCTTATTCTGGTTCTAAAAATATTTGGTCTAGCATTTGGAGTGCTTTTGGGGGTATGAATATATGCAAAAAGACTCCAGTGATTTTTCTGAAATAATTTCCATCTTTCTTTAAAAGTTGGTTATAGCTCAATTCTATTAAAATGTCAAATGGACTTAGTTAACAAATTCTCAAATTATATTTTTGGATGAATTTCATTTTCATGAAATCAACCCAAGAGACAGTATATAGAGCCACTAATTTAGTGCAATTTTCCCAACTGAAAATGTACCAGGTCTTCAACCAATGGAATAGTGGCATCACAATCAGACTCCTTTGAGTTAAGGCAATTGTGTGATAGCTAATATAGCTACCCAGATTGGACATTGTTACTCAGAACTTTGGAGCAGCTAAAATGGAAAGAGAAAAACACTGAATAGTTTCTCTGGTGTGAGAAACTGAAAGTGTAAACAAGGATCAAAATGTATCATAGATAATGTTAATTAGTAAGAAAAGGTCCACTTGAAAGGGGAAGGGGGAGGGATTGGAAAAAGGCAATAAGGGAAAGGAATAAATATGAGAAAAGGAAAAAATGGAAACAAAATCTCTGTAAATAGGAAGGGGTGGAGGGGTTCAAGGGAGGGCAGGGAAATGGAGAAAAAAATAAGAACCAAGATGTATCACATAAATGTATAAATTCCTAGCAATGAATTTCATCATATTATATACCTTAAATGTACCAATACACTTAATGAATAAAAAAATTAGGAGCATCTGAGAAGGCAAGGTAGATGATAACAGCATGTTTGATTGCTATTAGCTTTTTTATGCAGTGATCTACTTTAAAACATAATAGTTAAGGCAGCAATCACTCATTGAGGCAGTTCTCATTCTATACATTAGCACCTGTGGGTGCACTTCAGCTGAGTAGTTCTTCTACTTTTGACCACACTCACTTACATGAATAGCTTTGGATCAACCAGAGTGCTGTGGTTGATGGGTTTGGCTGGTTTTTGGCTTGGCAACAAATGACCAGACTACATGGTCTTTTGTCCTCCAGCAGGATAGTTTGGCCTTGTTCTCATGTGTCCTGTGTGTTTCAAAAGAGCAAAAGAGTGAGTCACAATGTATAAGCACATTTCATGCTCATCTTATTTTCTTTTGTCCCATTGGTCACAGAAAATTACATATTGTAGCCAAGAGTCAGTGTAGGCGAGGTCTCACCATGGCCATGGACACTGGGGGGCTATTTCTGCAATAGGCCACCTCCTCTGGGTTCTTTTACTCCTTTAGACTTTGGCTTAAGTGTGCCAGAGTCTTAAGATTTTCTGACTTATGTTTGTTCACCTACTTCTAACAAAGTACTTGTACTAATCAGCTTTCCCACTGTGAGACACTATACACCCACAACATAAAATAGGAAGTTTGATTTGGCTCACAGTTTGAGGAGATACAGTCTGTGGACAACTGGCTCCAAGACAGAAAAATGGAATAAGGGCGTAGTGAAGTAAAGATGCATCATTCGTAGCAGCCTGGACAACATTAAAACAAAAAAATACTGTTTCAAAATAAATTAACTGATTTTAATTTTAATTTTTTAAATGAAATAATTTTCCTTGTGTACTGGTCAACTTTTGCCTTGATAATACTACATAACAAATGAGTCCAAAATCCCAATGGCTTAATTGAAAACACTTAATTCTCACTTGTAAATCAGCTGTGGGCTTAGCAATAGCTCTTTTGAGCTTGCCTGGTCTTGACTCCAAACAGGGTTTGTATCTGCCTCATTTAGTTACGACCAAGACTGAAGAAGAACCATCTAGCTGAGAGACTTCTATGACAAGTACTAGGAGCACAAGGGAAGAGATTGGAAACTCAGTGCTTCAAACACCTCCATCCCAAACTGGCTTCCGTCCACAGTCCATTGGTCAAAGCAGGTCACATGGCTCAATCCAAAACCCATGCAATGAGGAGCCATATTTCACATGGAGCCTTCAGGGAGAGAACAAACAATTTTGAGCGGAATTATTTATACACCCTGAAAGTGGTACTTAGTGGTGCTTAGATGTATAATTGAAAAGATATAACTGTGAATTCATTAAAATAGCTTTCTTATCATTATCATTTTCTGGCAAAAATCTAAACCAATACCTCTTTTCTGCTTACATTTCCCAGGATTTTTCATCATGTTTGGGAAGAAAAAGAAAAAGATTGAAATATCTGGCCCATCCAACTTTGAGCACAGGGTTCATACTGGGTTCGATCCACAAGAGCAGAAATTCACTGGCCTTCCGCAGCAGTGGCACAGCCTATTAGCAGATACAGCCAATAGGCCAAAGCCCATGGTGGACCCTTCATGCATCACACCCATACAGCTGGCTCCCATGAAGGTAGGTTGGATTGGGAAGTGCGCTTTTAACCAGGTATGGTGGGTCATGCCTCTAACCCCCGCACTCTGGGAGGCTGAGGCTAGAGCATGAAAAGTTTAAGCCCAGCCTGGGCAAATGAGTGACTTAGTGAGACCCTGTCTCAAAAGAAAAAGTATTAACAGGGCTGAGGATGTAGAGGTATCTCCTGCAAAGGTCCTGGGTTCCATCCCAACAACAAACAAACAAAACAGAAGTATGCTTTTATTTTATGCAGTATAACATCCTTATGGGCAAATTATAAAACACATTTTTCAAACATCCACATTATTAGCCACTATTATTCTTCAGTGCTTATAATAGTCACCATCCATTGTATATTCCAGTGCATAAAAAGATAGCTTGGTTTTCAGATGTGAGTTATTTTAAAATTAGACATAAAATTCCATTACAAAATATGAAATTTTTACTTCTACTTTGCATGATGGTTATAGGTCTCTATACTGAAAAATTATATCAATCCCTCCAAGTTACTATGGGCAATAGACTCTGATCAAATGTTATTTTAGACAAATTTTGTTGTTTTCTGCTTTTTCACAATTTCAGATATGCAGTGTTACTACAAAGCAAATTGAAACATTCCAGTTTCTGTCTGTTCTCCAGGATGATAAGAATTCCAGGCTATCAGGAAGTTTCTCAAAAGCTCTCTGTGGGAGCTAAACATCATTGAAGTTCATCATCATATTATACTATAGATCAATCTATAATTCTCCAAACAGGCAAAACACAAAATACATATTCTTCTCTTGCCAATTATATTAATAAGACTACATAAATCCCTTATTCTTTGTCAAGTTAAATACATCATAAAGTGTGCTTAAATGCTATACAAAGATTGTAAGAGAGAGCATAGTTGATTAATTATTGGAAATGCTCTTATCACCTGAGCTAAACAAGTTGGAATTGTGGTTCTGTTATATGTGCATGGTGTTGGTCATTATTGTCTAGTATTAAACATGTGAGTGTGCTCCGTCCAGAGATAGATAGAGTCTTACAGTCCTGCATTTTGTGAGTTTGATTTTCTGATAGGAGTTTGAAATTTTTCAGAATAGTTAAAATGTGAAGTAGGCAACAGATAAATATTTGGGAAGAAAAACCTTTAGAGAAGAAAGAGCCTTCCAATTTAATCAGATACTTATTGATTCATTAATAAAAATTAACCAATTAGCCAACTTTCTACTAATTAATATTAGGCAATATCCTATGATTGACTACAATTTTTCCCCCAAAAAAATGTCTTCGCCGTTGACCAAAGGAATAGCTAGTAAGTTTGGGGGCAGGAATGTTTGTGAAAATAATTTTATATTAGCAGAATGCAGACTTAATAAACTTCAGAAACACCAAGGGTGCGGAATATCTGAAAATAAGTATATTTTTAAAATTCCCTTTTAGTTTCTTTGTTTTTCTTATATTCCAAGGTTTTTTTGGTTTTGGTTTTGGTTTTTACAAAACTCAAAGAAAATGGAATGGGCAATGTGCCCACAAAAGTCCTCTGTTGTTAATCACCTTGGTGAAAGGAAAATTTTCCAGTGAAAATAAGGCTTTTTTTCCCTTGACCTTGGAGTACTCTTATTAATGCTATTGGATAAAAACATTCTAGAAGGAGGCAAAGTCTTAGAGATGCATCCTACCTAGAAACCCAGATATACTGTGTTGTTAAACTGAGAGAGCAATGACTGAGTATCATTTATTTCATCATAAGTTTCTAGTTGTCCAGATCTTACCAGGTCCTATCTGGCAGTAAAGAGGCTACCATCTTACTGGTAATCCATCAGGCTAGACCATTTCTTCTATTTCCTTGATGGGCTGGCCCATTATATTTTCCTTTCTGACAGAACTTATCAGACTCACTAGAGGCGGATCCATGATTATTTTACTGGTTCTATGGGGCTTCCCAACCCTGAACCAAATGAAGAAGCATTCGGTCTGCATAAAATTTGTTAGAAACACTTGAATACTAACTGTGTGGTGACTAGAAAATACATCTCAAGTATAGAATTAGCCTGGATTTCTGCCAGCGGGAACTTGGACAATGAATTTCACCCAGAAAAAGTGAAGTTAACAAAATACATTTAACTAAAGGACATCCCAAAACTTGCAGTGCCTCATATTCTCATTCAACCCCTTTAGAAGGATCCTATTTTTCTCCAAATATAATGAGTACAATTAGCACTGCTTACAGATGGTGGATAATATTGGTGGTCAAAGAAAATGCTGTTGTCTCTATCAGCCCCTTAGAATAAGTAGAATTAAGAGATTTAAGGTGCCAAAGTATGTCATGCAGTCTGGCTGATCCTCTCTCTTTGGAAATGCTCTCAAAAATATTCCAAGTTATTTGCATATGACATATAAAATATGTAGACTATGTATTACAAGTCAGAGCAATCTTTGAAATGAGAAATTATAAATGAATTAACATCAAAGACTGAATATGGAAGATAGAATTATGCAGGTTTTAAGCCAGTTGGCAAAAAGTTGAACAGAACCAAGAATTCAAATTTAGTCCCACTGTCCTTCAAAATGAACAATGGCAAATGAGAACAAAGATCATGGCATAAAAACAGGCAGTGAATGAAGTGTATTGTCCCTTTTTTTGGGACAAAGTGCTCATCCTTCATTGTTGGTCAGCAGGCTTCAGGTTGTCTGGTGCCCCGGGGGGCATCTACCTTTGCAATCAGCACTCTTCTACATGATTGGCTAGGATTTCCGCTGTGCCTATTTAGAACTTCATGCTTACCTATTATACACATTGCTTAAAAGGACTCAAATCTCCCACATGGACTTACAGTGTTTCTCAAAATATACAGATAGTCAGAACCACCCAAGGGGCTTAATAAAACAGATTGCTGGACTCCATCCCCATGGTTTCTGATTCAGCGGAAAATGGAATAGAGCTCAATAACTTGAATGTGTAATGTTTTCAGTTGGTGCTGATGATCTTCCTCTGGAGACTAGACTTTGAAAACATTAATTTAAGTAGTTGTAAAGTATTTATCCACATAAGATAAAATCAGTGTGCATTGACATTCACCAAGATTTTCAAAATGTTAGAAGTTGGAAACCATGAGTTAATTTGGACTTGTGTTGAGAATTGAAGTTCTTGTGCCCAAGCCAAGGGTTTGTAAGTTAATTGAAATAACCTAGACACATAAAGATAAGGGTTCCTTTAAAATATATGGCAAGGAACTGGAGACAGAACTCAGTAGTACAGCACATGTTTAGCATATGCAAAGCTCTGGGATCTATCCCCAGTATAAAAAAGTAATCTCTATGAAACTCCTTTTTGGATCTGATATCATTTTATCCATAAAAAATAAGTGATATCATCAAAATTCCTGCTGAAATAGAAGCATGGTCATATTTTTTTGTTCTTATCTGTGGGCCTCAAATTTGGTCCTTTAACATTATCTCTGGGAGGGCCTTGTTATAACCCAAAGTGTTTGGGACCATTCTAGAGAGAGTAATTCTGGGAATGAAAACTAATGTGTACATTTTGAGCAATATTTTAGACACTGTCACGGGGTGGGGTACACACTTCAAGAACACTGTTCTAAGTGGACTGAACTAAGAGCATATTGGTCACTCTTTCCTTGTGTTACAGCAGAGAAATCATTTTGAAAATGCTAAAAAAATAGAGGATAATATTGAAAAGTCTGTGTACCTCCTAGCTAATATGGACAAACAGCATATCTTAATATGTGTTTCAGATTTGTTTTTAATTTTCAACTAGGATTATAGAAGTAATGCTCAGTAGTATTATTTGGTGTACTTAAATTGTATTAAATCATAGCATACTGTATATACATATTCTCCAACTTGCTTTTTTTTGGCTTAACATTGTTTTGAGATCAGCTGAGGTTGATACATAGAACATGTTTATTTTTTAAATTATTTTTAGATTTTTTTTTTCAATTTATCCATTTCTCAAGGAAGGGAGATTTAAAGCATTTTCAGTGACAGATGACACGGTTGTGAACATCTGTGTTCATGTCTGCTTGGGGCTGTGATGAGAGATTTTCCTGCAAGACTCTGAAAGTGTGGTCTGGAAACACGGGGAGTCCTTCAGACTCTTTCCAGGAGTCTGGAAGAGCAAACCACTTTTGTAATAATTCTAAGGAATCACTACCTCCTTCACTCTTATTCTCTCCTGAGAATGCAGTGGAGTTGTTCAGAAGCTACACAATGTGTTGACAGGTCATTCAGTTTATATTCTTATGTTCGAAACATTTCTCAGTTTTAATACATAATTCAGTAAATATTAGTTACAAAAAAAACACAAACCCAAATGTTTTGGGTCCTCAATAATTTCAAGGGTATCTGAAGCCAAAAAGTTTGAGAGTCACTGTCTTGAGCCTTATATCAGACCTGATTACCAGAAGCTTCTGGAACTTGCCCCTCACGTGCCACTTATTTTTGTTTAGTTTTGCTTATGAAGATAGAGGATTCTTCTTCTCCAGTTGGCTGGTAATTTTCTACTCTGTAGAACTTTCTCAAAATTACTAAATATTCTAATAAGATTACTGACATTTAGAAATTTGAAGAAAGGAGCTAAAGGTGTAGGGAAGGTGTGATATGTAGGGGAAGAACAAAAAGGGAAAAGAAAAAAATGTGAGAGAATGAAAAGATGAAAATAAAGTGTTTGTAGATGGGGAGGGGAGGAGGGGGTGAAGGGAGGGCAGAGGTAAGGGGAAAAAATGAGAATCAAGACTTGCCATGTAAAGGTACATGATCCCAACAATGAATGTAACTGTACTGTATCCCTAAAATGTACCAATAAACAATAAAATTAAAAAAAATTACTAAATATAACATCCCATCCCTTTGATTGTCACAGAATATAGTTTCTCTGAGCCAGTTGTGAAGTCATTGGAATGCTTACATCCTTACTCACAATCCTTTTTCTAATTTAGCTTTCAAAGCTTTTCTAACAACCCTCTTTTATTCCCTGTCAAGACTGAAAATTC